ATGTTTGTTTTTAACACCTGCCACATGAGCCTAGAATGGTCAACAGGGGTGGCATTCTTAAACCTGGTGATTTAAGGTTATTTCATGAGTTCTCGATGAATGAAGCTTGGCATAACTTCTAAAATGAAAAACTAAATATTAATGAAAATATGACGAAGAAATCTATATAAATTATACTATGGTGATACCATCCACTTCATATTAACTTTTTATTGCAGAAATAGCATTTTTAATTTGAGAATCGCTAGGGAAGCCATCTTGTAATGCATCATGCAACACTCCATCTGCGGAATTTACTGTGCTGTTGGTGTCACAAAATATTGAAAGTAATGATTTCTTATATATAATTCCAAATCCCCCCACCCACAAAAAAATATTAAAAAATAAATAAAAGAAGGTACTATAGTATCATTATATTTCACTGTCAATGCAGTAATCAATTGACAAATCTCCAATTCAGCTGATACATCAAATTGATTGGGATATCTTAGAATAAGTTCTTCCATCATCTGACCCGGACCCATGGTTTAGCTTAATTGCTACACTGAAAATATCACATCTAGAATATTTTAAACATGTTTCACTACTAAATTATTTTACCTTACAAGTTAACTTCTCCATGTTGGCTCTCATGATCTCAGGTCAGGTCCAGTGACCTTGACCTCAAAAATAGTGCCAAATGTCTTCTTTTTGTCTATTCCAAACCTTTCCGGAATGACTTATTTTTTAGATCCACATCAAGATGCTTGACAGGCTCATACGGCCGATGTTAACTATTTTTATTTTCATATTAATCACATAACTAGAAATAGATACAAGCTCTGATATCACTGGATTATAGCACACCTGTTCCAAAATACTATATTCTTTCATGTAAAGATATGCTGAAAATTTATTAATGTTACACAGCTAACTTTTAAAAAGTTAACTGGTATCACATTATCATTGTAAAAATGAAACATTATTGCAGTTGGCATGGAAAAGTTAAACATTGTTACTTGTTAACAATACTGTATTATCTGAATAGATTTTCGTTTTATTCTTACTTCTCTAATCATTTTCAAACTTTGTAACATAGTTGTTAATATCAAGTTTTATTTTGAAAAATAAATTATTCTAATTTTTATGTTGTTTGACTTTAAATTTAGGCTACTTGCATAATATTCATGATGTTAGAAAAACACGTGGGTTCAAGAAATTTTGATAGAAATGAATAAAAACCCTATAACCCAAGCTCTTTCGAAAGGTGTACCTTTCTTCTTCAGGGGCAAACTGGGAATGGCATAATATTCAAAAATACTAGGTTTTTACTTTGGTAAAGTATGCATTAGTTATGTATGATTTTTTTATTATTCACTTCCCTTGGTTTATTACAAAGTGTTTTATAGTTGCATAGTTGTTGAAAGGAAAGGAAATCCACTATACACTTTAAATAAAAGTTCAGAGGTACAGCCTTTATTTAATTACATAGTTGTAAAAAGATACAATAATGTTACAAATATATTAAGAACATGCAAAACAATAATGAATTGTCTGGAATAACAAGTCTGAAAAAGTGTATACAATATTGTTTTAAGAGGTTTCATTGTTTCTAAATGTTACACAATGCAATAAAAAGTTTACTATAAAAAATAACTTGATTCAAAATTATTGTGCCAGAAATCTGAAAACAGGGTTTTCATATTTTTTAAATACTTAATTGTTTTTTGAGGCACAAGTTTTAAGGTTTTTTTATATGTTAATTCTAACTACATTTCGATAATTTTATCTCAAATACTTTAGAAATGATATTTTGTCATTTTTCTGCCATTTACTTAATGTAATCCATGAAGAAATATGGACAAAAAATTCATATTTTAATTTCTACATAGCTGCAAGTAGTTTTTGCCTGTAAACAGATTACTTTTTAAAGAATTATTTTGCCCTTCTGAAAGAATAAGTATTTTTTTGCTAAGAACTTACCAGCCTTTCACCCACTGAGAATATATTATCCATTTCTTGAATTTAAAGTGTTCCTATTAGTTTTTGTACAGGCCTTTATTCACACCTTGTTATGGAGCCACAGCAAGTGGTATGATCATCGACTAATGAAATACAACTTTCGAAACAGCCATAAAGTAAGTTTAAATGTAATTGGATAAAACAAAAATTAGACTAGTACAGCACAATAAATACAAGTCTCTGTAAATGTTCTTTTTTGTTTGAAAGTTATTGAAATTTTCTCCAAGAAGATAAATGAAGCTTATACAGCTTAGAGACTGACTGAATGGATAACAAAGTTTGGAGAAGGTTTTGTCTAAATCAGATACAAGTAGTTACCTAGACACAGGTACACATGTATAGCATTAAAAAAAAGTCACATGACTGAAAATTGCTTAAGGCTTTGTAATGGTATCCTTGTTGACAATTGGGCCTTTACTTAAAATTAGTGTTTTTACTTTATAATAGATGTATTATGGTTTTTGAAGCTGTAAAATATAAGACTTTTTTTTAATTTACCAAATCAAATCAGATATGCTTAATTAAATTTGCTGTTTATTCAATATGGTAGGTGACTGAAAAATATTCTGATAACTCAAATCTTTACAGAATATTATTTTAATGTTTATCCTCATCAAACAAGGTTCATGAATAAACTGACTACTTAATTAAATTATTTTAAATTGCAACTGTGATTTGTTGTAAAATAAAACATTTTCCTTCCTCATTTAGCTATCAATTTGATTTGCACAAGATCAGTAGGGGAATTACTGCATATTTTAAAATACAAACAAAATGGTGTCACACAGCCATCTATGATTGACATTAGTTACAGTTCTTGAGGCAGGAAATGTCTTAATTATCTTTAGAGAAAATGTGTGCCAAAATGTTTAGCCAGAAAATACACTGTTTTGCAAAATGAAAAAAGAGTGACCTCCAGAAGATATCTACCATACTAAAGGAAATTTCAAAATTGCTTAAAAAATCCAACAAAACTAGGTGAAAATATTAAGATTAATACAGTGAGATTCCAAAAGTTATGAAGGTAGTGCATGTCATCAGGAACACCATTAATCAATTATTCTTCTCTGTAACAACTTTAATCCCAACTAGTTTGGGGTTGGCCATAGATTTTTGGAAGACAAGAATTTTTACACCCAGGTGGAAACCATACAGGATGAGCATGTTTGTTGACAGGGATTCGAACTCACAACCCTTAGATTGTGAGTCAAGCATCCTAACTATCAGACCATGCCAGTCCCGCTGTACTAATCAATTAATGAAATGTAATTGATTAATGAGCCTGTCTATTTATCTAATAATAAATACCACTAATTACCCAGATCTAGTTAAAACAAATGTAAACAGAAATACAAAATTGCAAATAAACAAAACAAAAACAAGCAAAAGTTTTCACATGGTCATAAACTTTGTTCTCTTGACTAGAAAAAACATCATCAAAAAGATTGGAAAGACAGAGAGACTGGACTCCCATGCTGAATCATTAGATATTCTAGCAGATTGCTTTAATTTTTATGCCCAGAAGGTCTAACTTAATTTCAAGCTCTGCTTGTGACTATTAGTTCAATAAAATAGCGTGCTTTAATTATTTGATAATAGCAGGGCCTCTATTTATTTTTACAAGAAACCCATCAATAATTTTTGGAGCTTATGGTAAAGCAGGGTGTTATTCAATGTTCCACATAAAATCATGCTGCTGTAGGCTTCACTAAACATTCCCGAATAGAAGTTCCAGGACTAGTTTTCTAACCACAATGAAATCAAGTTTACAGAATAATCCATCATAAATACTTGTGATTCATCAAATATTTTTCTTCAACTTGTCCGAGAAGATAGATGAGAAATCTCATCAGAACATGGCTCAACAATGTAAAGATCATAAACTACATTAATAAGTTGTAGAGTAAATGTTACATGCACTTGTCAATTCTTTAGAAAGTATTTTTTCATTTTACATGAAGTAGAATTATATCAGTGTTCTATCTCACACCTTCCAGTTATTACTGCCTGAATAAGTAATCGACTCATTTTTCAGGAAATGTAACTTAATGATAAAACCAACCACGAACATAATAACAGGAAGCATTTAGTAAAATGATTATATGATGTTTCTGAAACATTTAATAAATGCTTCCTGTTATTACGTTTGTGTTTGGCCTGAATAAGTAGTTTAAAGCAATGTTCAATTTTGTCCAACTAGCCATTTCTCTTACAAAAATTTAGGATATGGCAGCCAAAACTTTCACTTTCAGTTGTTACTATAACAAAAACATGTATTGATATGTACTGCATTTTACATTACTTTCAAAAATATAGTTTGATTAAAATTAAAAAGCAAGTTGATCCTTTTCAGCAAGTAGAATACAGGCAACTTCTTGTAAAAATGTGTGCCTGAAATTGAAAATCCACAAACCTAAATATAAGACTAAGAGTTAAATATAGAGCTGTAACTAGAACATATAGGAGTATGTGGGCAACCATTCTGAAACCATAGTGGTGAGGAGTGGAAAATGACTGAAAATAGTGAAATGGATTGTCATGGAACCGATCTGTATTGGGTAATCATGGGAACAGTAGCAAGAAATTTACTTATTTAGTGTCAAATATTAAATTTAAAATTTAAACTTTTCTCGGCGCTAGCAATGTCTTTGGTTAAAAATACAATTTTTTAATTATTTGGTTTATACGTTGCAGGCGAAAGAAAATAATATTTGTAAATAAAAAATATACCTACAAAATGAAAACTTATGACTCAAAATAATGTTGCAAAAGTACTCATGTTACTTTTAACTTAAGTTTAAGGCTTTACGTAGCTAACAATGTAATATACGTTAGGCCTATAAAACAACGTGGCGAAGTTTCCCGGTACTACGTTTAGAAAAACACTATCAAAATCTATATATTTCATATGAACCAAATATAATTACGAAAGAAAAAAAATCAATTCACTAAAATTATCATAACCTGAAATTATAATATTTCAAAATGAAAAATCTTACATGAACTTGAAGTGCTAGTCAAGAGCCACTGCAAGTACAATACTTAAATATTCTTAAAGAAAGAAACTGGGTATTACTCTTAATGGCGCCAACATCATGAAAGAGAAAGGTTGAAAGCTGGAAAACGCGATTGCGAAGAATAAAAAAAGTTGAAACACATTGTTTAAAAGCCAGGAGCAATGACAAACCTTTTATGAAAATAGATTCCAATATATATATATATCAAAGTGTAATTCAGGAAAATTAAACACTTTTTTTACAGGGGAGGGTCCACAATTAATACTGCTATTTCCATAAGTAATTCATAAGTTAGAAGCGTTTTGTAAATTAACAGCTAAATGTGTTACATGCTTGAGATAATCAATTTAAAATTAACTGTCTTCATATGAAGTCAGTAAGGTTCTTTAACGTAACATTGTGTTCCTCTGGCAAGTCAAATTAAAATAATTCGCTATTTCACAATTTTTGTATACGAAACTTTGCGTCAAGAGAGAAAACTATATTGTAATTTTTGAAATAAGAAATAGTCCTATCAACTGCTAGAGGAAATGATAATTTCGTGTTGGAATAGTGATATAATTTTGCTATTCTTAACACAAATTAAAACAATGTTATTCATTTATTAGCCAATTCAAGTGAGAGGCTTGGTGTTTTAAGTTAGAATGTTGTTATGGGAAATAATTATCCGTGCTGTCTTAGACAAAAAATATCTATATTTAGCATATTTCAACCTAACTAAGCGGCTTCTCATGCGACACGAGCTGAATGGTTTGTCAGAAATCCAAATATTTACGCGTAGCCATCTATACAATTACCTGGTGATATACTCCCATCAGTAGCGAATCATTGTGCTAAACTGACCAACAAGACTAACAATTACGCACAATTCGATTTTTAAATTAAGATTTGCTTACGGTGTTACTTATTAAGTGGTGCAAATTCTGTATTGTTGTAGCGTGTTTTATCGTCAGGTGGGTTCTTTGGGATTATTTGGCAAAAAGTAATACCAAGTCCAGTCCACGTAACGATAAAGAATTAATTTGCTTCTTAAATAAACATTTTTTACAGCCATGTTCACTTGAAGGCCTGACTTCAAATACACATATCGATAGAAATTCCGAGACTATTTGTATGTACATTTAATTTATTTAGATTAGATCTATAAACAAACACGCCAACTCATTGAGTAACTGAATAAATATGATAACTCACACTTCTAACATTGAATAGCTTTACAGACAGTGAACGGATTAAATAATCAATGGTTACTCATATTTATATCTACCCTTGTTTTTACATATTACACAAAACTTCTCGATTTTTATATTTTATACACTTTCTAGATCTTTTCATGCACCTTCTAGCAAACATTAAAATTGAGATATTTAAAATGTAACTTATGCCAATGTCTCATTCCTGGATTGTGAAGTTCCTAGCTTGAACAATATTTATGCACAAATAAAACAGTACACTAAACTGTCCGTTTATCAAGTTTTTTGGTGGTTTTATTTTCCGAGGGTTATGGTATGCAAGTGAGATAACCCCTCATCCCTTATTATCACTGGCCGTACTGTTGCTGGGGGTGTTCTTCTTTGATAGGTGGCTGGGTGAATACACTGGCAGCTCTGTCCTTGGTGATATTTTGGAGATAGTCTCAACAGGAACCCTGAGCTCTTAAACGGGTTGAATTTCCACTTTGAATAATGAACTTCTTATCTCATTTGGGGCAGGAAGGGGAGAATACTGTAAGTTATATTTTCAATGTTGTAATTTGTGATGGCTATAGAATCTGCTGGTAGTAATAAAGATGTAATGATAGAAATACTTTGATAGGTATCTAGGAACAGTGATACAGATATAAACACGAGTAGACACTTAGTTCAAACAGTAAATAATGAATGAGTATACAATCAGAGTTGTCGCGTTTGTTCTGTTATTCAATTACTTGTTTGCTTATCTAACAAAGTTAGGCGTACTTCTCGCAGTTTATATTCAAACTTAGTTGTTGAGTTAGTGTTGAAACTTTTTTTTGTGCAATTAGACCTACAACGTATAAATGAATATGTCTGTAGAAATGTCACAGAAAAATAAGAAGAAATATATTAATTTGCTATTGTTACGTAAACTTAATTTCGAATTATTCTTACGAAATAATTCAAGGTAATCCGGCCAACGATAGCATACTTTATAACAATAAATAGCCTATTCTAATGGGAAGTTAAGTGTGCTGACTAGGAAAAAAACCAGAACGAAGGAAACTGCTGTAATTCACGTCAACTTGAAACAACGGCATCTATATTATTCTCCTCAAACTACTCCGAGAATAGAACAAAATACTTAGGTTTACTGCAGCTAAACACAATGTAAACATACCAGTATAATAAATTGAGTTTTTTTTTAAGTACCTTACTAGCAATAGCTTGTAGATTAACCCTTTAATTCAGTTGGGACAGTGGTAAGTTTACGGACTTACAACACTAAAGTCCAGGCTTCAATTCTCCGCGATGGATACAGCAGATAGTCTAATGTGGCTTTGCTTTAAAACAATCAGACAACAAAAACAATCTCAAATAGTTTAACACTTTCTTGTAGTGCGTGCGGTTCTGAAGGAGGACGAAAACAATTTAAATTGCTATATCAGGACATTGAAGGCATTAATCGATGATCGAATGAGTTTAATACTGTACTTTGCTTGAAAACTCTTAAGGTTATCAGTTTACCAATGTGCCAAGAACCATTATTTACTCTAACTCTGTGACCCCATAATTTCATTATAGAAATGAAAAATGTCCGTATTAAGGTAATTAAAAACAAAAACAGCATAAGGTGAAAATGGTGCACAGAGAAATCGGATAACATATATATGTTGGTAATCATAATGTAGGTCACCAGAGTAGTTCTTAAAGTGGCATGACAAAATTCGAGATCTAGTTCGGAAAAACCAATTAAGCATCAAAAAATATATTTACTGATATCAATAAATACTGATTAACAGAAAAATCAATGTAATTTCATTGGTAGATACTATTTGTATACAATGCTTATACTATAGCGACACAGAAATCTGAAATTATATCTATTTCGTGAGAATGACTCATAATACACAAAGATTAAAGAAGAGTGTAAACAAACTAAAATTATTACCTATTCTCTATATTATATCTATCAGGGGTCTTCTTACTCATTTACAATTTGGGGCCCTTGTCCGTTTACCATGAAGGACCCACCTGTCTTGCCCATTTACCATGAAGGATCCATATGTTTTGTCCATTTACCATGAAGGACCAACCTATCTTGTTCATTTACCAAGAAGGACCCATATGTTTTGTCCATTTACTATGAAATACCCACCTGTTTTGTCATTTTTCATGAAGTACCCATCTGTCTTGTCATTTACCACGAAGGACCCACCTGTGTTGTTCATTTACCATGAAGGACCCACCTGTCTTGTCCATTTACTAAGAAAGATCTACCTGTCTTGTTCATTTATCATGAAGGACCCATCTGTTTTGTCCATTTACTATGAAGAACCCACCTGTCTTGTTCATTTATTATTAGGAGTTCTTCCTGTCCATTGTCAATCAAGAAACCCCTTTGTAGATTTAACATGATATCACACAAAGAGACCTCTTGCCAAAAAAACGGCGTTGCACGTGCTTCATGTGTTTTGTTGTGGCTACGGCACTGGTAATATACATTTTTATGCTTATAAAACGTTTACTATTGTTTTTTATATTTTAAATGAGGGTGTTTGAGTTCTGCCACTCGGTGTATAGGGACCCTTTTGACTGTTTGATGATATATATATGGGCCCTTCCCTACTTGTCATTAAATCACTAAAGAAAGGAAAGTCTGCAAATTGTTTGTTTGCTATTAAACGCAAATCTATACAATGGGTCATCTGTGTTGTGCCTGTCACGGGCATCGAAACCTAATGTTCAGCGTTATAAGCCCTAAGACTTACCGCTGAGCCATCAGGGGAAAGTCTGCAATTAAAATATCTCTTCACAACACAGGTAAGTTAATGATTTACACATGTGATACTAAATGCCCTTTTTTTATAACACTCGTCATAAAAACTATCGCTGTTTTACACTGAACGAATTCGTATAGGCTTTTTTTTTTTACTTAACAACACGTTCATACGATTTGTCTTAGATATATTTTTAACAGACACAAGGCACACCAATGAGTGGTACGTTCAGTCCACAAACAGCAGATTTTTTTTTTAACTTGACCATCAATACTCCTTTAGTCAGGGCACCATAAAGTTGTACAAATCAAAATAGCATGCAGATACATCGACGATATACCAAACTAACCAAGTTTTCTTGACATATTTTAATATATCTACAAGACAGAGCTAGTACTTAAAACAAGTTCGACAAATCCGAATGCTACCTCGATTTAAAGATTAGTGTTATTAGTCAAACATTTTCCTTCAAGGTTCACAATAAAACAGAATATCTTTAATTTGAAATAATAAATTTCCCATTACCTGACACAAACAATCCGAAGAAAATATGCTGTACCTATCACACGTCAGTAGATTTGCTAGAATTTGTTGTAATTTGGAAGATTTTACAGAGAGTTTGTTTGTTTGAAGTTAAGCACAGAGCTACACAACGGGCTATCTGTGCTCTGCCCACCACGGGTATCGAAACCCGATTTGTAGCGGTGTAAATCCGCAGACATACCGCTGTGCCAAAGGGGTTATTTACAGAGAGAGCTAGAACATAAACAGATAAGCTTTGCGGTAAGCGTAATTTATTTTTAACTAAAATGTATAAATAATAGTGACAATTTCGTCACTTTTCCTACAATCTTCAATACGAATATTATGGATCGTGATTTTAGGAAATTAACATCATAACTATTGGTTATATATAACTTTCTTTATTATGACTTTACATAGTATAAAACAAATCTAAGCATTCTACATTTCAAAGTTAGCATATTGTTCAACTCCAACCTAAGTTATGCTGGGCCAATCGTTTACAAAGGTGTGGACGTTGACTCAATATGGATCACATGATTAACACAGTCGCCATAGGATATAAATAACTTGCTGACATACTACAGCACAAGTCATCACACTAGAGGGAAGCTAGCTAGTTATCACCACCAACTCTTGGGCTGCTCTT